AACGAAGCACACAGCGTCTTCACGACATGGCTGCAGCGTCAACAAAACTACAGTGAGACTAAAAGTTACACCTTCTTTCTTTGCGTGAACATTTGGGCGGCGTTATGCAAATCTTCCCACATAGTGACGTAGATATGTAGGGGCGTGTTAGAACGAGCCGTTTTAGGTAGGTGTGGCTGACTCTTAACTTTTATAAAGAATATCTCTTTGGATTTGAGACTTTAGTCTTTGCAACTTTACAGATCTTCTTTATGTACCAAGAGCTTGTAACACTCCAAAGAGAAAGGAAAAATTGAAATCGCATCATATGACCCCTTTGCTTCACGATGCCATAGAAGAACCTTTTTGTCTAAATGGTTCCATAAAGAACCTTTAACACCTGAAGAACCTTTCTGTTTCACAAAAGGTTCTTTGTGGTGAAAGAAGGTTCTTCAGATTACAAAAAGGTAAGAAAGAGATGGTTCTTTAAAGAACCTTTGACCGAATGGTTCTTTGTGGAACCAAAAAGGGTTCTTCTATGGCATCACTTGAAGAACCTTTTGAAGCACCTTTATTTTTAAGAGTGTAATGGTTTAACTGATTCGGAGTTTCGAAAAGCTCCATTTCACCCATCATTACAAGCAATAAGTCGAAACTGGGTTTTGCTGGTGAATAGCTTGAACTGAATGATCGAAGTCACGAGTTTGAGTCTTTTTTTTTAGACTTTTTGTGCCTTCAGCCATGTTTACACGACACTGTCAGTACTACTGGTTTAGCTCGCTGGTTTTATGAGATTAACTGAAATAAGCGAAGAAATGTTTACAAATGTTTTACCTAAACATGGAAATCATAAGAGAATGTTCATCTGGGTGAATGATTCCTTTAATGTCATCAGATGGTTTTATTCAGAAAGTTCTCTAAAGGGCATGTTTAATAAAGTGCCAGTGGCAAAACCTCTAGAATGTTTTTTTTAAGTGCAACTTAAAAAAAATCATCTTTCGGTCGGTGCTGATGGCCTCATGGGCAGCGAGCCGATATGTAGGGCTGTTGCGCTTCGGGCATCCCGAGTTCGAGTCCTCCCGATCCCGTCCACCTCCCTCTCTCCTACTTCGCTTCCTGTCATCATACTGTCCTATCACAATAAAGGCAAAAATGCTAAAATCTTTAAAAAAAGAGTAAATTATTTAATATTCCTGTATTTAATCTCAATTTTAATTAATGTGTTTATTATGTTGTTTATATACCTGTTTTTATTTTAACCTGTTCTTACCATTATTATTTTTTTAAATCTTTTTTCTTTATCTAATTATTTTATTTTTCAATATGTAAATGATTTCACCCTGTTCTTGCCATGAAAATAGACCTTCCTTTTTCTTTTTCACCTTTTATTTCATTTCTCATCTTATTATCTTATTATTTTATTTTCCGCTATATGTAAATTAAGATGATTTCTGATATCTGGTATGTCCGTTCTTAAAGGGTTAGTTCACCCAAAAATGAAAATTAGCCCATAAATTACTCACCTTCAAGTCATCTTAGGTGTATATGACTTTCTTCTTTCAGACGAATCCAGTCGGAGTTATATTTAAAAAAAAATTGTCTTTGATCTTTCAAGCTGTTTCATGGCACTCAGTGGGTGTTGCATGCATCAGTCCAAAAGCACTTAATTAAAATGCGCCCATCCATAAAAAAAAGTGTCTCACACGGCTCGGGGGGTGAACAAACAGTGTACAATGCGCAAAGCCGACCCCCATACGTCATCCACCCGGAACTGCTTCCAGTGTACAACAGTGAGCGCAAGCTGCATTAAAGTGATTATTACGTTTTGAATATGGATATTTTTCTTACAAAAACGCATCGATTCGCTACAGAAGGCCTTTGTTCACCCCCCGGGAGTAACAAAAAGGGTCCCAAACAAAGCCATGTTGTGCATCTCTGCAGCAACACACATCTATACCCAATCCCATCTATACCTGGGATTGGGTAAAGATACTTGATACTCTAGTATACACTTACATTTTTACCCTGGATAGTAAAGAATATCTTTCAGAGCTCATTTTAACAGTAGTTATAGTGTAAAATATGCTTAGAAATCCAATTAACAGTGTGCATTTGTTGCGCTAGAAGTGTGAAACTCCACCCACAGACATTGTAGTGTATCTTATGACTAACTTTGTTTGTGTTTCTCTCTCAGTCCAAAAGTGTGGATGCCAGTCGACTCCTACACAGAGTCGAGCTGATTCTGTCGGCGCTAATCGAGGTGGCTGGAATCCCATCCAAAATTCATGTGTCCTCATGCGTCCTCTGCAAACAGGGAGCAGGTTATGGGAATATGCATTCTGGGAAATGAGTTATGGTACTGTGTTGGTGGTCTCGTGGGGCTCTAGCTGGCCTCGGGCTGAATGTGCACACTCTGCCATGACGGTGACCCTCTTCGCCTCACGTTCAGCTAATGTAAACGTGAGCAGTCGCAGTTTCTCATCACAGGTGCATGCATGCAACAATATGTGCAACTATGTGTGTAAACAGATGTGTGACAGTTATTATTCATCACTAATGGTTATATATTGAAAGTAAGCAGCCTTGTTAAAGAATTTAAGATGGTATAACTAGGCTAGAAACATACTTTATGCAAGTATACAAATGCTTGGCTACACATTCAAAGTGTACGGATACCTATTGAACATTAATGGCACGTTCTATTGCATTACTGAAAACACAATGTGTACTTGCGCAGTCGTTTGCATTTATATTTCTGGCCTTATTGACACACTTATGCATGCAATGTGCTTCTCGAGAAAATTGATCCTCTTTTAAGGATTTTTACATATTTTGACGGGAAAACAAGACAAAAATACTCATTAAGATCTCCAGCAATTCCGGTTCAAAACAGTCGTCAGATCATTTGTAAATATTTGTACATTTCTAAACACATAAAATGCTTACATTTTAGCTGCTGCCAGTACATTGATACTGCGCGCTTCAATGTCTACTCAAATGCAAAAAAATGTAGACTTTATGTTCAGATAGAGATTGTGTGAGACGTAGATCACCAGTGCTGCTGTGTTTTTCAGGCTCATATCCATCTGAATGCTGAAGCATGTTTCCGGCGGACAGGCTTTGATGGCCTCTCTGTCACGCCGTGTTTCCACCAGCATCTGCATTCCAGCGGCAGACGGACGGGTCACCGCTGGGACTATCTGACAGAGGCGCGTGCGGTCCTCCTCCACCGTCTGTCAGCGTCACCGGTCTGTTTGAATATGCTGCTTGATCCGTCACTGTCAGGGTGCTTGCGTTTCTGCATGCGCCGTACGCTCCTCTGCTGGGAAGCTGCACGTGCTGCTTTAACGCGCGCACCGCATCAGGTTGTCTGTCAGTGAGCGTTTGGGAAGGACAGGCCTTGTCGTCTCTCCTCCTGATGGGAATGATGAACCGTGGTTCACAACACCAATAACTCATTTATAAAACCTTGATGTGTTTTTGATGGTAAAATACTTCCTTGTATACCAGTTTAATGCAGAGACTATAGGAAATAGTCCTGTGAAGTGTACACAAGGACTGTTGCAGCTCGACCGTTCAAGATTGCTACCAAAGTTGTTCAAACAAATATTTTTATTTTATTTTCTTTTCTTTTCTTTGCTCTGGGCTACTGGACTATCCAAAAATCACCCAGAGCTGTTTATTTTATTTTATTTTATTTTATATAGGGCTATAGAATATTTACAATATGATTATGTCAATATGTATACCGTTACTGTAAAAAAAATATTTTTTTTTCAAACACAATCTATTTAATAAATATTTTAAGTAAATTCTACTCTTTTCAGGCACCATCACACAGAGCTGAATATATATATATATATATATATATATATATATATATATATATAT